AAACTTGAAAAAAATCAGAATCTTCTTTAGATGATACCGTCAGTGCGGGTAATTATCATCCTTATTGTCAATTGTCTGCCTATTTCACCAACAAACGTCAAATTATATCTTTCAGAGTACAAAGATTGTTGTATCTTTAAAAAGACAATTTGGAATTGCGAAAGAACACCTTAAAATTACTAAACATGCCAAGTCTTAAAGCAGGGACACGAACTTCCTCTCGCGCCAAAATAGGTCAAATTTTCTAAGAATAAAATCATATAGGATGAGTCTTCTTTGGTTTCCCTTGAAGAACGGAAGCCCGCGATCACTTGGGTCTTATCAGGACCAATACTCACGAACAATAGGTCTAAAATAACTAAAAAATAAAAGGTAACACCTTTGTCCTGCAAACGTCTTAACCTTCGCGTCGCTCCGTACGACGGCGACGTATAAAATAGCGGTCCTGTAGTTGTCTAACAGGAGAAGTAAAAACTATATATGTTCCCAATTAGATATTTCCTGCTCAATAAATCGTGTATATTTGTCTTTCTTACCTTTGAATAAGAGCTATCAAATGTGACATCACTTTTTGAGGTAAGGATGGTTAATTGTGAAATTGTAGTCAAATGAAGTGGGGTCTTGTTCCCTTGGAGTGTTCAGTGTTTTTTCTTCGCTGAGTCATAATATTGACTAACACAATGGTGAATATACTTATGCTATTAAGCTGTTTTGTCTGGTTTTAACGATAGAAATAATTTGAGATTGCTAAGACTATTTCTAACAGAAAATTAAAGACTAGAGAAAAATGCGGATTTATACTCCATTCGGCTTTAAATGCATGTAAATGAGTTGGTTCCTATCATTTCAGTTTCACAGAACTGGTCCCATATTTCTATATCCTTGATTCTTTACGGAGGTGGTCAAGAATTTTGTTTTGATGTCCCCAGGATTGGCCGGCAATAACAACAATCATATGTATCATACCTCTTTGTTCCGTGAGTTACATGCACAGCAATTCAACATGTTCTCCGGTCCGAGTAGCCATTGGCCTCGAATATTCCGGGTGTTAAAAAAAATCTTCCTAGTTCAACTACGAGTAGGGACGCCCGAACAACTGTAGTTAACGAAACATGCAGCTAAATCACCAAAGATTCATTTAATCACGGCTGATATGAATAATGTTTTATATAGTTTTTAAACAATTGGCACTTATGATGGTGTCAAATACCATCAGTTGCATAACGTAATCAGATAAGCCGAAAAGAGGTCTCTTTTGTTGACCGGTGGAATTCTTCCGGAATTCTTGAGCAACGTCTAGTGTGAAAAAGGTCTGTCTAAAATTCTAGCAAGTGTTTTCTTTCCAAAGCTAGCAGGTTGCATATATAGTCCGGCTCCTCGTTTATCAATATATATTCAGTTTCAGGTATCACTATGCTGCTATGATGGGGTTATGGGATTCCAAGCCGGATTGTGTAAGGTGTAGAATGAGGAGTGCAAGTTCCAGTTTTCCGTTTAGAACATCTACCTCGTCATGCCGTGACAACCTTTTTTATCGATCACAAATCTATCATGAGACAATGGCTGTATAATACTGCATTTTGATCATTTTCCTACGCCAGCTCAATATATTGCGTAAATGTAGCCTCTCCTAGCACCAAATTTGGATCGTTATAGATTCCACGCTGTATCGGATTGCGGAGTCCAAGTAATGGATTCCAGATTTCAAACGTTGGCGGATTCTGGATTCCTAAAGCTGAATACTTTAATCCAAAGCCCAGAATTCTGTATGCCACAAGCAGAACGTTTCCAGATTCCTGAATCTGGTTTAGCTTATATGGACGGCGGAACTCGTGATGTTCGTTGCAGGGAGGTGTCCGCATAAAAGAGGCCAGTGTTCTCAAGGGGAGAGTTGCATATTGTTGTTGCTTTAAAGTTTTCGGGTAAATTACAATTAGTATCTAACCACATAAACCACTTATCTTGGTGAATAGAGCTCATGCAAGCCTTGCTCATAAGAAACTTAGAAAATTCCTTTTTGAATCATTTCTGGTCAGTTAGGAAAGTTGATGTTTTTATCTATTATTATAATTTTAACGTTTAGATATTTATTCAATATTTCAAACTTATCTTATGTATTATTCATATGCTTATGTACGTTGGGTCTGAAAAATCCTGATTGGGAGATTCAATAAACTTTTACTTTACTTTAACGACAACACACACGAGAAGGCACCTGTGCCGCGTCAGTTAAAACTCTTTTTACTAAGGGAAACTGATAATAATTGCATTGTCACTGTACTGACTTAAGTACAAATGCTATTTACTTGAGAAGACAGGTTTTGTCCAACGGGAAGGACGGTTGTCAAGGGATAACTTTTTATAACCAAAGAACATTAATTACATACTGAAAACTAGCGTTGTCGCCCGTTGTTTGATAATCACGATTTTTCCGGATACACCGACAGCCAATAAGCACCTTACGAACGTGAAAATAAAAGTTTTAATCACATTAGGCTGAAAAGAGAAAAGAACCAAAAATGTGTATTTTGCGACCGTGGTCAGTGAAAAATGATCTTAAAGCCGGTTGAGCGATAACGTTCACTTGTCTATGACGATGGCAAAGGCTTGGGTTAGCTGACTTCATGTCCCCTGTCGCTAAAATTCGTGAAATCTAAGACCGTGTTAGTCCACTGTTCACCTGAATTACTTATCACCTAATAATGAACAACTGTTGTAGTTACAGAGGTATTGACATTTCATTTACTTTTAATATATAAACAGAAACTACAGTCAGAAAATTTGCTTAAGCGTAAGCTAGCGCTATAATTGCAAGCTAGGTACCAAGTCATTATGAGCAGAGACCAAAGAAAAATATCTCGATCTCTGGAAGAAGGTTCTATTCTAGCGTCCACCGACCAATTGGCACCAATTTCGCAAACTGACAACGAACTTAAGCAGAAATTAGAGGCAATCAAAACTTCTCATAAATTGTCAAACAAAAGGATTAGGCAGGAAACACGCGAACTCAAGAAAATTCTGCATGACTTGCAGAAAGAGCTGAAGGTCTCAAAGGGAACACATGGACGGTATATTCCATCTTTACTTGATCAGCCTCAAGGACGCTTAAGAAGAACCACTGTTAGTTCTGTTCCACAAGAGGACCGAAAGGAGGCTTCTCAGTTCGAGCGAGATCAACAGGGAAAAGTTAAAAAGGGGCTGAATCATGATTTTACGAGAAGGCGTAGAAGTGGTAGTTTTCCTCCTATTTTGCAAACAGATTTGGAGAAAACCAGGCAATCTTATTCCTTAACGCCCTCTCAACACGATGAAAACAACACAATACCAGCACGGCCACGAGGGGAATTGCAAAGCCATGTGGAACAGCTTTCTCCTTGTACCCAACCTGGTCTCACAAGTCAGTTAAACAGCAATCAAGGACCACACATAATAAGTTCTCCTTATGAGCAGCAGCAAAGTGAAAAACAATATTTGGCGACTACAGTTTGTGGAAAATTTGCAACGAGAGAGGGCCCTATTACATCAAATTCACCACGTTCTTCATATCAAAGCCCTCAACTTTATAAACCAGCAGAGAGCCGCAGAGAAACTAGATCACTATGGCAAAAGCCCAGTATTGTCGACGACTATTCGATAAAATCGAATCAAAACGAGCAACGGAAAAAAAGAGTAAGCGTGATTCAGAATAACTTGCAGAGTAAAGGGAGTATCGGAATTAACGCAGAGACGCCCAAGACTACTTTGCATGGAAAGTTTGACACTGGACACGACCCCGAGTATACGCCTTTTGACTCGCTACCGGCAGGGATTATTGGGGGACGAAGACTTACTACAGTCACTCATGGTAGGGTTAGAAAACCTTCCAGGACTAAAGGACTTCCGCCTTTGAAAGAGGAAAAAACTATGACGACGCCTGAAAGAACAACCGCAGAAATGTGGAGTGATTTAGCAAACTGTAGATACTTGAGAAAAGAAGAGAAGGAATTAAGTATGGATGATATATTTGGTAAAGACTAAAGTAAATATTTATCTTGACTTTGTTAGCCATTACTTTTGTTATTATGCATACTATGTCTATAGCCTGTATCCATGCCAATTGATTTGCAGCCACTCTTGATGTAAATTCCATTCAGAATGGTTCTCATACCGCGATACTTTTCCTGTTCAATTACTGCTTGAAACAAGTAACAACTTTGTGGTTCGCGTGACTGACCTAGGTTTTGCAAAGTCTGAGGACTTCTCTCGGTTGCGAGCCAAGGTAAAGAGTTCCGTCCAAAAGAAAAAAAAAAAGGTTGAGAAATGTAAACCCAATGTAATGCTTTAAAACAGTGCAGTTCTTTTGGGCAAGATCCAGGCTTGGGTAATGGCTAGGGAACCTGGTTTTACTCCAAGCTCGTTACGTCCTTAGCGAAAATATACCCTAATATAGTGTGGGGGAACAGCCGCTTGACTTAGAACGATTGCGTTAATTGCTTTAGTACAACCCGACCCTCACTTTATTAGTGTTGAGAGTTCTTCTTTGGTAACACAAATTTTAAATGACCTATTTTGCTCAACTGTACATTGGGTACATTATACACGCTTTTCCGACAATTTTGTGCGAATGAATTTAGCGCAGATTTAACCTAACCCTTTACTGCAATATCTGCTTTGTTCACATCATCTCATTTTCTCAACGCAAAATGAAAGAAACGCAACAGGTATAGCACGGAACGAGCAGAAGCGAGAATCGGGAGGGGTAAGGGGTAGCAAGACCTATCACGTCGCGTTCACAGGTCCATGTACTGCGCTATGGAATAACAATCTAAGTAAATTGAGGGCTGTTAACAGTCAAATTATTTCCACTTATGTCCAGAAATTCGCACAATGGCGAAAATTCGCCGACGTGCATTTCTGGACATATCTCATAATATCAGTCTCTACTCCATTCAACCTAGCCCACTTAGGTTGCAAAACTATCCTTTCCCCTGAGAGTAAACAATAAACTATATGTCACTTGAGACGTTTTTATTTAACTCTTATTCTTCACTCTCTCCGGCGGCGCGATACTGCCCTCACACCACAACAATCTACGATAAACTTAACTTTATGTTACTACTTATGTACAAATGTTAAGGTAAATTGACTTAAGATTATTTACATTAATATTGGAACACGGTATGGTTCAGTCAAACCGTTATCAAATGCAACATCACGACAGCCGCAATGGTTTGATCGTTTAACAACGTTAGCTCAGTTCCTTTACGTGGCCAAATATTGGCAAGTTGTACAGTCAATTCTCATTATAGCGGACTCTGTACCTCGAGTTAGTGTCCACGTTAGCGAGAGTCCGTAGTTTATTTCTGTCAAATCTCTGTAATTTATTTTTGCCTGGGATTTAACTGCTGTCCCTAGAGGGGTGTCCGCAAGGCGAGAGTTGACTGTATTCATTCCGAGAAAGAAATGCTTAGATATATGAAGATAATGCCTCGGGAGCAATTCACTCCGTCTCGATTTCAGTACTGTATTAAATCAAGATAGCCAGAGTTTTGGCATTTTCCTTGGAGCTCTGTCAATTTTTGTTGGACAAAACAACTGTTTTAAATAAAGTAAATCCAGGCCCCGAAAACCAGTGTTTGGTCAAACTGAAAAAGGCGTAAAGACAGACTAGTAAAGATTTTCAACTTTTCTCAAAAGAGAAGAACCATAAATCAAGCCAGTCTGACTGAAAGTGTTAAGTGATACTTTGTCACGCGAGGTGACAAAACTACATGTTGCATTATAAAACAAAGTATACTTGGTTATATCTTTATGTACTCCTTTTTGATGTATAATCGTCAGTTATGAACCTTGACGGCCTTTTAGAGTTTAGTATCATGCACTGTTTCTCCTATCTTCTCTGAACAATCCTTCAGTTCGTTTTTGTGACTCAAAAAAGTACTAGGCGCTTCCTCTGAGTGCCTTCGCAGTTCACATTTGAGTTCTAGTTTATTCTTACTCTTGGTTTCATTCAAGCTGGTACTTCGCGCACGCTCCACAAAACTTTCTTGTTCAAGAACACATCGCACCCCTTGATACATGTCATGTTTACCGCGATGATGTCGACTGTCCTGCCTCCCCATGGCAAGCCTTTCGTCTCTAGAAGTCTTTCTGAGGAACTCACTCTTTTTATCTTGTTTACTAAGATGAAAATGTTCCGGTGACAAAGCGCGCCTTAACAGCGGTGATCCAGGTCTGGGCGATGTTTGAGGGGTAATACTGGCCAAATGTGGTGACGCTGGGGACCCCCGAAGGGTCAGTGGAGAAGTGCTACGGGGGTTATGATTGTGAGGATGAGAAGGTGACACTGAGGTGGGTGAAGGTGTTCTGGCAAGAGGGGACACTGGCACATGGGTCGATGACTTTCTTCTTGGTGAACGAACCGCGCGTAACTTTGGAATAAGCCCTTGAAGAGTTCCTGGAAGAAGAAGAAAAAAACATATCAGACCTATTTTGAAGCTTTTTTCAGCCACAAGTTCTTACTGTGGTCTTACGTTGTTGAAATGGTTCCTATACACTCCCAAGTTCTCCCCAAATGAAACCATCGAAGGCTACTTCGTACAAGTATAATCAGCCAGGGTGAAAACACCAAGTTAACGTTAAATCCACGAACAAATTCATTACGTATGTTGTGGTTCAATTTTATACTTGGTTCTAATTATCTTTTCCCTTTGTTTTAGAGTGTGTTTCGGCTTGACGAGTTTAAAACAAACGAAAATAAAATTTAAACCAACGATAAAGTTGAACCACAGCAGAAAAGGTACATAGTATTAAAAATGAAGCGACCCGTTTAGAGTAGTTTAAGACGTCTGCCTGCTACGTGCTTTCCCTAACATGATGGAAGGTATTTCTGTCGACGAAAAAGCATCAGTATGTGAATATCACATTTTAAACAGGGACGCCTGTAACATTCTAACCACAGAGCACAAAGTAAAGTTATCGATCTCTCAATTTAACCCTTTCTAGATACAGTTGAACTGTCTGAAACGACCACTTACAGTTAGAACGTCATAACATAACTTTTCCTTATTGGAGAAGAAGATACTGAATCGAAGTCTTGTTAAAACGCGAGCAAATCTATGTTGTCACTAAAATTTCATTGTATACTCTCGTCGTGTCATTCAATTTGTACCGGTAAGCGATCAGAATGTGTCACGTGGTCACATACGGGAGCTCTCAAACAATGGAAAAATGTAAACTACCATTCGAGGCGCTGAAGTGGCCGCGGTTTAGTTACTTCGAGAAGTTCCAACTATGTTCATTAAATGGGAGAATGTTGGTGATTTGGAAAACAGATCGCTCAACAGGTGGTCGCACACGGAGGTTCGACTTTATAATAAATGGGAACCGCACGCTTTAACAGCCTTCTATAATTGTTCAAAGAAAAGTCAAATTGCACTTTTTCCCTACAAGAGGAAAGTGGACAAAACGGGCATGTAACACCCACAAACGGAACAACCCAAAGACAAAAAACACTTGATATTAGTCATTTTCATTTCACCTACTGCTAGGTTTTCCGGGTTTTTTCCAGGTCTTTGCATACGCTTACAACATGATCCGAAAAGAGCTTCCGTTTTGAATAATTATGACAAAAGAATGGTCGACTAACCGAAAAATAATTTAAGGTGGGAATTTAAAGGCGCAAAATGTTTCTACTTTTAAAAAATTTAGAATTGATTCCTGACAAGTTAACGTCAATTTGTTGTAATAGTTTAGGTTGGATCTTTTCACCTGGTCGTCCTAGGCTATGAGCACTCGGTGAGCTCGGGGACGATGCTGGACTGCTGCTGACAGATGACGACGACTGATCCGACAGAGTCCGAAATTCAAACGAGGGTGACGCACACTTTGGTGAAGCGGGTCGCTGTCCCCTCCCATCCGGAGATGACACCATGCGTTTTAATGAGCTGGTCCGGCGAAGGTTTGTCCCTGGAGAAAGAGAGTGACTTGCTCTTCGTCCTAAGTTTTTCCAGAAAGTTTTTTGCTTGGGTTGTTTATCGCTGGTTTCCGGGCCAGGAGACGATGGTGCATTTGGTGAGGTAGCCGCTCTTCTTCCGCGTCTTAATTGAAACTTTTTACGAACTTGTTTGCTCATGGAAAGGACTCGCTTTCGACCGCCCCTTTTAATAGAAGTCTTGGCAAGTTCCGTAGCTCCAAGTTTTACTTTTGCTCCACCTGCCAGAATAAGCTCGATGACTTGACGGTGACTAAGTCCCATTACGGGCTACAAAGAATACGATTAAAAGAACTTGTGAACAACTGGTCATAGTCAGGAGTAAGTCACTATTACAGATATGTTAGCCAATGAAATAAACCATACACAATTTAAACGACCTCTACAGTAACGCGAAAAAAGAGAAGTGCGGCGGAAACTGCTCGCCTGTCTTTGTCGCCCCATGCCCGGCCTCTTAACACTCGTGTAACAAAACCACGACGAATTCTGGTGCTCGTACGACCACAACCTCCACCCGCCTCTCCACAAAAACGTCTTATTTAGGCTACTGTCAAACTACATTACTATTCCTTTGCAGTATCCTTGACCAGTCGCTCACAGTTTAAGCCCCCAGTGATTCAGTTTCTATTGTTTGTCTTTGGTGTACTTGGGATGCGTTAAACATTAATTAACATTAGTCTTAATTATTCCTAAATATGTTTCCAGTTCTCCGAAAAACCAGACACTTCCAAATCTCAATGGTAGGCAACTATAGATCTTACCTCATCATTGACGTGAGTAAGCAAATCTCCTGGTCTGAGACCTGATTCAAACGCTGCACTTCCATGATCCACATTCTGAAAATGAAGAAATAAGACGTCATCAAGACGTTCATTGGCGTTTTGAGGTGGAAATCATCCATGGTGTAACAGAAATGATATCAGACTGTATCAATTAACAGTTGCTGATAAAATGTAAAATCAACAGGAAAAAGAACAGACAAGTAAACAGTGAATGAAAATATTTCAAAATCATTCACGCGTCACTTCTTCCATGTTTACCAGTGCGGTAAAGTTGGCCTTAAACTACCGTGTCTCATTAGGAATGAATAAAAATGACTAACCGACACCAGGTGATGAACTCTGTAGTAGTTCGTATCGCCAAAGTATACTCGTATGGCCTGTAAAGTAAACCCATATCCACGCGGACCCTTTTCGATTATGATTGGGGGACGAAGACAGAGTGACAACGTCTTTCCTCTCCTTCGGTTTCCAGGGGAGCGGGGTGGGGTCAGGGAACGAGGAGATCCAGGAGGACTTCTGATGTGATGCTGTAATGCGCGAAACTCATCATCGGACACTGTGGAAAAAAAACAGCTCTTAAAATATCAGCTTGGCCTTATTGCATGCAATTTGAAGCTTTCACCCTACAGACTCCCAATGAACAAATTGTAGATGATCAATACGAAATTCCAAACTAACTGAAACGTGCCCTTCTATATTTTGTTACTTCTCCAGAATAGCAGGAATAAACCAGATGAACACGGGCAAATGAATGAAAAATCGTCTAAGCCATATTGGCAAGAATAAGCCGTAAACAATGCAACTAAATGGAACTAAAAAGAAGGCTCTTGTTTTTACGATCAACATTTTCCTCTAACATTCAGAACATGATGTTAAGAAAACTGTATCAGTATATAAATGTGCACTACATGTCATAATACAAACCACTCATTTCCCCTTTTCTCTACACATTTTCCGTTGTTTCGTCCATAGTAAATGATTTTGCCGGAAAACCTAGTTGAATCTTGTGTAGATTGAGGGTTCTGATAACTATCCTGATTTTACTTTCTCAATTCAAAGGGGAACGACAGAGGGCAAATAGTTGTTGCTCAAAATATCTGTAAGTCCCCATGATGTCATTAAAGACGCCACTCGACGCCGGCTTTAGCTCATCGCTTCACTAACAAAATACACCTTGATTTGCAAACGCATGTATATAGCATTTCATGTCAAAGACTCTTTTCTTCTTGTTATAGATCAATACGGCACAGTATGAAGACTTACGTGACAGTTCCAGCTTGGGAGCATTAGTCCTAAGTGTATCACGCTTTTCGCCGGGAAGGGAATGGGTTCGGTGAACCCGGTGCCTCGCCTCAGTCTCCGTGGTAAGCCTGGCTGAAGTGGACGCGGGAGAATGGGTCGGACTTTCCTCGTCGGTTGACAGTGACAACAGCGGGACTGGGGATAAGTCTGAGTACGCCTTCTTTCTTAACCGAACCGTGGGAGGAGTGACAGGAGACTCGGGACTTACAGGGGTTAGGGAGCTGACAAAAAAACAACAATACTAAAATAAGTAAATACAGTCGAACCTCCACTAACGGCAACCTCTCTAAAAAGGCCACCATATTTTGTTCAGGCGGACAGTCCATACATTGACTCTTATTCAAACCTTCCCACAACGGCAACAGCCACTACAACGCGTCCCCAACTGCCAAAATAACCCCTCGACAACGGCTAGTTTGTTCAACGAATGATGAAAAAGTCAAGAATGGTAATGAAATTTGATCCGTATGGCGCGTAGATGATTAATCGCGGCAATCGTATTTTGATTTTGCTTCATTTACACTGCTTCAGTAAGCATAAATTATCTACGATACTTATAGCGAATGTTGCGAACCTTAACATTTTGATTCAAAACATAATTCAAGCTTTTTGGGTATTTTATCTCTATATACTATTTATGATTGGATTATTACCATTACGGGAGACAGTAGACATGAACTTGGCACAATTAGACATGTTGTACTCCTTAAAAAAAATTGTCATATTACAGTCCTACTCCCCCACAACAGCTACCTCTCCACAGCGGCCACTTTCTTCTGTCCCCAAGGTGGCCGTTGTAGAGAGCTTCGACCGTAAATAAATAAATCAATCAATCAATCAATCAATAATAATAATGAACAACAACAACAAAAACCAACCACGACTTCCACAAGCCACTCAATTTCAAAGTGCACTTAATCATAAATTGTAACTGTATCGTATTTAAGGCGCATTAGCTGCGGTTAAACGAGCCAATTTACACCTCGTTACACAGGTTCTGCCAACAGACTATATAAAGTCCTCAAACAATCACAGATATACAGGCAACGGCGAACTAGAAATTATAGTCAAATATTCTCAAACGCTAACTTCATATGGAAACCTGGATAAATGGACCTCAAATACTTACTCGCTCGTTGAGTTTCCTCTACTCCGGGATTCACGTTCGTCAACGCCGCTATCACTTCGTTGCCTCGGTAAATCCTCGGGATCCTGCTCCTGGCGACAAGGACTCCGTCCGTTCAAGCTTCTTCGGACAGTAGGAGGAGAACTATCCGAGCTCTGATCACTGCGTGGAATGCACACTTCTTCACCCGAGTCTTTATTATCAGAGGTTTTCTTTCCATCGTTAGATGAGACAGGAGACGAAGGGCCTGGGGAAGGAACTGGTGATGGTACAGGGGAAGCAAGGATGCGGGAATATCGAGGTGAACATGTGGAGAAATTACTGAACTCGCTCGAAAGGTTCCTGAATTCCTCATCATCGTCCTCATCATCATCAGTTTCAACCTCGTGGTTATAGCGGTCAGTACGAGCTGAATATTAAAAGAGTTAATATTATTTTACAACACCTAAACACAACCATGAATCCTGCTCTTAGGCCAAGTTCAGACGTTGTACTTCATTAAGGCCGACTCAAATTCATTTAGGCTGGCTGAACAGATTCAGACGTCGATCTTTATTTCAGCCAAACTAAATTTAAAAGCGAAAAAAAGCGCATTTCGGAAAACTATACTACTTACTAATAAATTACGTCGTTGGTTCGGCTCATGGAAAGTTTGGCGTCTGAATCAGCGCCAGTCAACAGCCGTTACTCCCAGCCGAGAAGAAAGGCCGAGCCGTTTTAAATTGATTCAGATGCCGTACTTCACATGAACTTAATTATTCACTGAATTAATTCGATTCGGCTCTTTACTCATGTGAAGTACGGCGTCTGCACGGAGCCTTATAGAGCTGAATCATTTTAACAAAAGACTTTCTAGTAAGGAAAGGAGTTTCCATTTGCTTCATTTGAACGCGCCAAAAACGATGAGTTGTCAAAGTCCTTGTCAGCAACAATAAACACACAAGGGAATTCTGAAAAAAACTCACAGTCAAAGTAGCTGGTATCATCTTCTCCATCCAACTGTGGAATAAATTCAGCTTTTTGTCGAAGCAGCGCTGTCCAGTCTAAACCAACAAAAAACTGATGTTCCTTCACCTCATGTGAGCCTGTGAAAAGATACAGGACAAGCGTCTTAGAGGCTGCATGGGATACAAGTGGCGGGAATGGGTTTTGAGTGCAGTTACCTGTTGTTCCCAGGCGCGCAATGGGATCCTGCTCCAGCAATCTAGTGACCAGGTCACGCGCGTCATCTGGTGGGGCTTCATCTTCACTGGGCCATTCTATTATTCCTTTAACAGCATTAAAAAAAAAGAAAACATCAACCACAGCAAGCAACAATAACGAGCAGCCAGGTAGTGATAACAAACACCCCCGTAAGAGAGTAAGAGCTTCTGTTTTCACGGACTACGACACGCCCAGATGACTTTAGTTGCAAGCAAGACACTAAAATTCAGGTCTTAGGACTGAATAGGGCCTTTGCAGCTAGCCATTCACGTGGTACAAAACCGCCGTGCTGGAGAGCAAAAGTCGCACTGGGAAAAGACAAACAAAGAAAATTACCATTTAACATTATGTATGTCTTTTGTTTGTCTTGTCCCAGTGCGACTTTTGCTCTCCAACGTGGCGGTTTTGTACCACGTGAATGGCTAGCTGCAAAGGGCCTATAGGCTTCTATTCCTTGCCATTAAGTATTGGTACGTTCATTACAATTGTAGCAAGATAAATTTTGTATAAAAAAGCCCAACAAGATCTACGAATTCTGAACCACTTACCACTTAAAGTATCAGCAAAAAGCTCTTCAGGAGTATCACCATAGAAAGGAGGCACACCAATGAGAAACTCGTACAGTATAATACCTAGGGACCACCAGTCTACTGGCTTTCCATAGCCTTGCCTTAGAATAACCTCAGGGGCCAGATAATCCGGGGTGCCAAATACTTGCTGGTCTGTAAACTGCTTTGTCTCTTGGGCCAGTGAATGTTCAAACATATGAGTGGTACCTTGAAAAAAAAAAATTCAAGATCACTGCAATAAACGAAAACATACTAGAGAGACTGGAATAGACCTCTTTAGCTTGTACGTTTTGTTTTCCCAAGAAAGGTGTTGAGGGAATTTGCTCCTATGTCCTCTTCATAAATTATGCCCACACACATTATAAGACCTGGGCTTATAGAACTTCGTAAAGGGTTTTACGAGGGCTTATAAAGGGAGGGGCGGGGGTATACATCCGAAATAAAAAAGCGCTTTAAAACAAGCTACAATCGAGTTCACTTCAGTACATATCTGAGGGGGACTTAAAATCAGATCTAATTTTTTGTTTACATGAAGATGGGCCTGTAACTGAGAGGGGTGGGGTGGGGGGTGGGATCCCCTCTGGAATATTATCACAAGACCCAACCTACAGTGGGAAAACCAAACCCATACAAGCTATTGTTTGCCACTTTAAAAACGCCTGGCTAAACAAACGAGTTGTAAACACATTCTCTGAGAATAGTTCAAACTACAGGGTTATAAAGGAACCAGGTGATAGTGAGGAACAAGAAATTTATTTACATGCAGGGCACCATCTTCACCACAATATCACCAATGGCCCGGATGGCGTCGACCGTTTCACATGGCAATGACCGTTTGCGAAAGGAAATAGGCCCCCCAGTTCCAGGGTGGTTAAAAGAAGGGTAACAGGTAACCACTTATGTATGTTTACTGAGCATTTTAAGAGCATCTAAGGTTCGACGATGCAGAGAACAAAGGTTGTGAATGTTATTTCACCTATTTAGCGATGTACACGCGACAAACGTGGTACTGTATAATGAAAACAAATATTACTTACTGTTTATCAGTCCAACCTTTGACAAACCAAAATCAGTCAGTTTTATGTGTCCCATGGATGTTATCAAAAGACTGCGACACAAACATAAAGTTAGCACTCAATAGTATCTGCACCCTTAACCTTGCACCCATGAGCATTTCCCGAGACCTTACATACCGTAACTAAAACACTGACGGTGGTGAGCGGAAACGCAAGGAAAGGTTGTGGCAAGGCATCGTATTGACTACTACAGGTTGTTATTGCACATTCGTAGTTGCTGTGTGTTATTTTTTTTCTGGATTGTATGACAGAATCTGTATTGTGTGTTTAACAATTTAAAAGCAGTCCGATTAGTACCCTATATATTGAGTAAGGCGTTATGGTGTCTTCAGAGAGGGCAACTCACTTGTCAGGCTTGATGTCACGATGTATAATTCCATAGCTATGGAGATACTCAACAGCGAGCAGTGTCTCTGCTATGTAGGACCTAAGGCATTAAAAAAAATCAACCAGTCATCAAGAAAACTCACATTGACAATCATTAACATCCGAAAAACTAGTTGAGAAAGTAACAGTGGTTTGACGTTTAATTTCAGTAGTTGAGTCATTTACCATTGTTGAAAGGATCTTCAGCGGCTCTTTAGCCTTTTTAAATAAGGCAGTTCATAAAAAATTGTAATTTTAAGATGCCTACAAGGTAGCTTAATCTATTCTCGCTATCATGAACTAAATATACTGACATAACATTATGCCGAGTGATCTTGATTGAGAGGAAAAAATTATAAAGAGCAAAAATGGCTTCCAATTCAGCCTGCGAATACAGTAGTCTCTCCTCGCACTTCGCCGCTCTAGTGAGTGCCAGGATGGAGAGTGAGGGGAGAGAAAAAGAGGGAATCCGTCTATTTTTCATCTTAGAAAACGCACAAACCTCCTGTCTGGATCAACTCAATATTTAAACTTATTTTAATAGGTAGGTTGCAGCTTCAAACGTTAGTACAACAATACAACAGATTACAACATGTCAATAGAATTACGCCTATTGGCAACTACAAGTATGAAAGGAATTTTGCAACAACAGAGATGACCATTTTGTTTCATTTTGTCAGTTACTACCTATTAAAGGCAATAGAGAACGTTTACGAAATTAATAACTTCTAAATGACCAAAATCCAATTTAAACTTCTTTTTCTGTCCATCCGTGGTTTTTTATATTTAATGTAATACTTAATATTCCTTCGGATTTCAAGGGCTACTCCAAGATTTTAACTTGACCTGGCCAATGTTTTTTTTAAAAGTTGGATATGAGCGTTATCCATATTTTAAACAACTAGGGCTAGTGTGGCTAATTGCTTGATACAGCAGCAGCTCAGTTCCGCTTACCTGGCCAAATCCATTGGTAGGGGACCCATATTCTTGAGAAGTGAGGCACAGTCACCTCCCTCTACATACTCCATCACCATACACAGATGTTTTTTAGTCTCAAAACTGCACCACATCCCAACCACAAATGGATTCTCAGCAAATGTTAAAATGTCTCTTTCAGCAAACACCTGTTGCACCTTTAAAACAAAGTGAATATGAAATAGTCAGGCTCTAGCTGGCGATGCTCAGCACTGTTATTCGGTTTTTGCTCGGTTTTCTTCTGCTTTGCTTTGTTTTGCTTTTTATTTTGTTTGATTTTAATTAAAGAAAACCACTGTCTTCAATCTTTTATGCATCAGAAAACTCACATCACCGATCCAGACTGCAGTGAGTAATAATAATAAATAACCTAATAACCATCCAGGGGGCTTTTTCATGCATTTGTGGGAACTTGAACGAGAGCGCCTATTCAATTTTCTACAATTAACAATTGACCCAAATAGCACATGAAATGCAACCTAATTGCTATTAAGGTCAAGGTCAAGCTACAAGTTTCTTGTGTTATTCTGACATGACCAGCTACCGTGACTTGCAATTAAGATCTCATTTTCGAAATGAAAGGGGAATTTGGGCTTGCTGGAAACAGGCCGCTCAATTTAATTTTGGGAACATGAGCGGTGACACTTAAAAGAGAAAGGGTACTTACAGGAAGTAAGGCCAGGCATTT